ATTCCTTAACCATTTTTAAGCAATGTCATTCTTCTCCAAGCAGCCATGCAAACCAGATCACTGCGGCATATTTCCTCAGTGATTGTGCCAAGACTACTAAATGATAGCTACAGATAGCTTTAAATGTACAGTTGTTAACACACCAATGGCCACTGCATCACACAGTCTTCTGTCTCAGCTAGACCTTCTCTTGTGACCTATTCTGAATAGTTAATATACTTCCTAGAACTTTCTCCTTCTATGCTTTTATAGAAATAGGTGCTTTCTCCTAATTTTTCATCTTTTCTGGTTGCTTTATATTTGTCTTCTTGTATATTATTGTTTTCAGTGATCCTTGAAATTGAAGTTGTTTGAGGATTCTAATTGTATTGTATTTATTTGCAATCTACTATCTTTATATAGAAAGAAGTGATGTACTCATGTAGTTTATTTGTTCCCAACGTAGTCCCTCTTACCTTTGTGATTTTCTATAGATGTGAGATAGGTCATTCTTCCCTTCAGTGCCAAGCTCAGCATTATACAGTGTAAGCCCTCAAATGAGCACAATGCTTTATGCTTCTAAATATTTTCTTCTTTGTTCTCTTATAATGAGCAATACCAGTAGGCATTAGGTCATTTTTTGATGCTGCTTTTTCCCCAACATTCATATTTCATCACTAAATGTGATCTATTTAGTCTTCTTCCTACTTATAATTCTAAATTAAAAAAACATTAGGACAAAACAATGAAACTAAGATGGAACAGGTTGGGAAGAATGTAGGTCTCAGAGGGAGATGAAGGAAGACCAGAGAGGGTAATATGAGTTAAACAGTATTACAATACATTGTGTATATGGGTGAAATTGTAAAAAGAAAATTCAAATTCAAAATAGTTCTAGATAGTAGACCAAGAATAAAGAAAAAAATTAAAATGAAAAATCGAAAATATATTGAAAAAATAATACACCAAAGCTTAAGGGCTACAAAAAAGAAAATTTAAGAAATAGATTCCTAACAGTTAATACATACTTTAAAAAAAAACAAAAATAAATGGGAATCAGATATTACATCAAAATAAATTAGAAAAAGATGTGCATACTAAGCATTTATAGAAGGAAGTAAGCAAGAATAATATAGTCTATAGAAATTAAAGAGATAAAAAAGAACAAATGTAAACAATCGTGAACTGAAGATTAGGGATTTTTTGTACAAGAACACTGTCATGTTACACAAGAGTACTGCTATGTTATACAAGAACACTGCCACATTACACAAGAACATGACCACGTTACACAAGAGCACGGCCACGTTACACAAGAGCACTGCTATGTTACACAAGAATACTGCCACGTTACACAAGAATACTGCCACGTTACACAAGAATACTGCCAGGTTACACAAGAACACGGCCACGTTACACAAGAGCACTGCTATGTTACACAAGAATACTGCCACGTTACACACGAACACTGCCACGTTACACAAGAACACGGCCACGTTACACAAGAGCACTGCTATGTTACACAAGAACACTGCCACATTACACAAGAACACGGCCATGTTACACAAGAGCACTGCTATGTTACACAAGAACACGGCCACATTACACAAGAACATGGCCACGTTACACAAGAACACGGCCACATTACACAAGAGCACTGCTACATTACACAAGAGCACTGCTACATTACACAAAAGCACTGACATACTATTCAAGAACACTGCCATACTTCATAAGAACCCTGATAAAAAAGAAAAGCCCAAGATCCCTTTGGAATATGAACTTTAGATGTCTTTCATAAAATATTAGCAAATAAAATTTAACAGCATATTAAAAGAAACATTCACCATGGCTAAGCAGAATTTATATCTGGGATACAAAGATAATTCAGTACATAGAAATCAATAAGTAGAATATGCCACATGGGAGAAATGAAGGATTAAAACCATATAACCACCTCACTAGGTACAGAAAAAAGTATTAAAAGCTAAATGTGTATAGTAAATTATGTAGAGATAGAATGTACATTACTGTCAAAAGTAAATATACTCAAGGAAAACTGAAAGAGCTTTGTCTGACATCAGTATTAAGACAATGATGACCACTCTCATCACTTAAATTTGACATATTAAATACAGTAATAAAAGAAATAAAAGATATTCAAATCAAGAAGGAAGCTGAACTGTCCAAAAGGATAGTGATTTATCATCTAACATATGTCTATATGTCAATCACTTATCTACCTATTATCTACTTTCTATCTATCTATCTATCTATCTATCTATCTATCTATCTATCTATCTATCTATCTACTTACCTACCTACCTATCATCTATATCATCTATCATCAATCAATCTATGTATAATCTATGTACTGTCTATCAATTGCCTATCTACTATATGTATATATAATATCTATTTATCTATTTGTTATCTAACTGTCTATCTCTAAAGGTCTGATAAAAAAATCTCTTACAACTCCTAAACACATTTAGTAAAATTATAGTTTAGAAAGTTAACTTATCACAAAAGTAATTTAATTGGGTGATTGATTGCAGTTTCAGAGTTTCAATCCATTGCCATCAAGGCATGGAGCAGGTGGTATGCAGGAAGACTTGATGCTGTAGAAAAAAGTGAAATTTCTATATCCAGATCCAAAGGAATCTGGAAGGAATAAAGCTACTCTGCCTACCTTGGAATTCTGAAACCTCAAAGCCCACCCTAGTAATCACACTTCCTTAACAAGGCCATACCTCTAACCCTCCCAAGTAATGTCACCCCCTAAAGACTCAGCTTTCAAATATGTGATCCTCTGGGTGTCATTCTTATTCAAACTACCACAGTCTATTATGAAAAACATTAAAACATTAATCCAAGAAATAGATTGAAAATAAAAGGACACTTATGACCAGAGTTTTAAAAACATTTTTGGATGTCAGAAAATGTAGGAATCCTGTTGTCTCAGGAAAGAATGTGACAGAGGAGTTGGGAAAGACAAGGAGAAAATAGGTGGATGTCTTTCTAATGGGGAAGACAAGGAGAAAATAGGTGGATGTCTTTCTAATGAGTTCTTCAGTCAGGGTTCTCTTGAGGACAGAAACAACAGGCTGCAGAGAAATTTGTGGTGAGGACTTAACTCACTTGACTGTGGAAAAAGAGAAGCCCGAAAATCTACAATTGGCAAGGCAGATGGCCTAGACGTCCTAGGTAAAAAGTTATGACTGTCTAGACCAAAGAAAAAGCCATGTATCAGTTGTAGTTCAAGGTCAAATGGTCATCATCCCAGCTCCAGCAGGCAAGCTGCAGGACGCCCTCATATGTTGAGGTAGAAATCTGTCATCAGTCTGATGCTTCAACTTCATATACCCTCCCAGACATATTCTAAGTAAAATTTGTCATGTTGCTCTATAAAATCAGCTTTCACAGAAAGGGTTAATGATAGGAAGTTTCTCCTGGGAAAGGGAAGGGATGCTTCTGTTTCCAAGACAAAGGAACTAATCTGGAATGTTTTGTTCACAGATGACTATAGCACCATTAGCTCACAGGAACAGCTGTAGAGGAGTTTAGGACTTGGACAAAAAAAAAGATAAATTTATTTGGATCATTAATATTTCCTTTTTTCAAATGCAATACTCTTGAAAAAAGATTTGTATAACATGTTAATTGAACTTAAAGAACAATCCATAAATGCCTAACAGCCTGTAAATCTTACAGGGCTGCCTGGAAGTGGTAGACTACATTAGTGTCTGTGTAGTTTTCCAACTCCTGCCTTTCTTGGTCTTTTTTCCTCCTGATAGCTTATGCTTACTATATTAAAGTCTCGGGATGTGGATGGAGTTTTAAAACTAATCTTTGTAATTAGTATCTGTGAGTGAGTAGGTAGATGGATAGATGAATGGACAGATGAGCAGAGGGAAATAAGCAGTAATTAAAGATTACAATAATCTCATCCTGTAGAGAGACAAGAGATTCCTCATCAATCCTTACCATTAGTACAGAAAAATTTTTAGCATTTACTAAGATAATTACTAGCAAATATATATCAATATAAGTTATAATAAATATTTTCTTACAAATACAAAAACTTTGTTCCAAAAAACTTCTGTATTTGTTATATTTTTAGAATACTGGTAAATTTGATAACTATTTTCTCTTTATTAAAAATAAGTACTTTTGAAGAAACATTAGGTAGAAGTCAGCGTGTTTTGCACTAGGAATGGTAACAAACAAAGCATGCATGGTCTCAGCTTCACAGAGTTTAGTGTATTATGGAGGAATTGGAATATCTCAAATGGAAAGATTATGACATCTGTGATTATGTTTGAAGAGATGGTGTTACTTACAACCATGATTTGTAATTATATATTAAATATATTTATCAAAGTATTCTAATGTCCTCTCTACAAGTGTTCAGATACTATTTTTTTTCTTTAAATAGAAAAATGAAAGTGAAGACATTGTTATAAGTTATAGGAGGGACCTAGGAAAGCTGTCTCTTATGGAGAGACAGTAAGTAATGCTTAGAAAACAAGCGGGATGATTGCTGGCACTAAGGAACATTAGAGTGGAAGAAGCATTGTCCAAAGGTCTGAAATAAGGCAGGCTATGCAGATGATACTCTAAAGGAATTATAAAGACTTTGGGGTGACAAGAGCACACACTGTGAAGAGGAAAATAACTAGAAATTAGGGAAATGAGCTGTAAAACCTTGTCGACTGTGTTCCAAGTTTGGGGCTTTATCTTATGTGTGGTAAGTAGCCTTTAAAGACTTTTAGCTGGAATGCAGATAACGGGGACACTAGAATACTTATGATGAGAAGGTAATGCTAAAGCCAAGGCAGTGAACATTATCATCTCCCAACCCAATCCAGACCATCAAGTTCATTACTAGCCTATTTCTATAACTCTGGTCATACTTTCTCATTTTGGAGGCAGTGAAAATGAAGAGTTAATTAAAAAATTCTTTTCTTTTATACTTGTGGTGGTATTTACAAATATGAAATCTATATTCTTATTTGCAGAATTACATTGCTTGTGCTGAAAAGTTATACAATGCCAAAGTGGAAAGAGTTGACTTTACAAATGATATAGAAGAAACCAGATATAAAATTAATAAATGGATTGAAAATGAGACACATGGCAAGTAAAATACTTTGTTTTCTTCACTATTTGTCAGTTGTATGCAAATATTAAGATATCTCTACTTGAAAGAAGAGAATTTTTAGGCATGTAAGATATAGTCCCTCCTAATCCAAAGTAATGATTGCTGTTATTTAAGACTATTTGCCTGATTGATTTTCATATTTTTTAAAAAGTCTTTATTAAGGTAACATTTGACAAAGGTTGTACCTTCAGAGAATGCCAACTCTTTATGGTACTTTTCACAATGAAAATCTGAATTCTAGACAAAGTTCTCCACTAACACAAAACAAATGGAAATCTGTTAGTCTTTGTGTTGCTAATCAACTGACTTGAAAGCTGGTATTACTCATTTACTTAGTGGTGGGTTCCATTTTGTACTGTGAATATTATTCATGTATTGAGTTTTGCTTTGCCTCAGAACAATGAGCCACGTGGTGCACACTCTGTTTAGCAGCATATGGGTACTCCTTGGAGGAAGAACATGATCTCTCCATTTCCTTTGTTCACTCACCATTATATTATTACTGTGTCTTTGTTCACTACTTATTAAAAGTCTCAAATATAATATTATAGCAGTTATGAATTTAAAGAAATGGCACAGCGTGATTTTGGGATAGCTGAGTCATGTTCTTTACAACAATAGTCAAGTCATTTGATTATTCCCTCCCATCTGCAACACTTACATATTTCTCATCCTTCTTCTTATAAGCAAATATATGCATTCAGCACATAAACTATACCCGTGATTTAAAAAGAGCATCCACAGTACTTCAAATTGTCTCCATTATTCTAGGTATTATTTTCTATTCCTTTGCAGAATGCAATCATCACACTTTATAATGACAAGTTGGATGATTTATCACTGTGTGCTTCCTTGTGCATTAAAAGCCAACTAAAGATTTTTCTATCATATTCAGGATAATCCAAAAGTCTTACAGAGGATCACACTTTCTCATAGCCCGGTTTTGCCTCACACCTTTCCTATCTCAATCTAGTTAACATTCTCTAACAGGGCACATTTCTTTTCATGTATTTTTTCTTTTCCACATTTCTATATTTTTGAACTGTTTCTGCTGTGTGAGCCATCTTTCGGCCACCTAAATTCTCTCAGCTCAAGGAGACAGCCTTATTCAGTGGCAGTTTTTCTTAATCTGTGTTCTTTTAGCACACCATACTTATACATTGCTGTAGCACTGTGTATAAGAGTGGCTTTCTTGGTTGTTTACTCGATTGTGCTATAGTTATGGAGGATCATTTAATATTACCTCCATGTAAGTTGGCTAGCCAGTTAAGTGGTTTAACGTCTGTTGAAATAACAATAATTATTGTGGTTGATGTAAAGTTGGCTTGGGTATCTACATCTAAAGCCATAGTGAATATATGATAATTTCAGGCAATGAATCCTAGAAAGTCAACAGATATTATAGTTAGTATTATGACTTTATAGACAAAGAATTATTTTTATGGGATATGTCCAAAATGACATGCACTACAACTTTCATTGCTACAATTTAAGCATCATGAACAAAGGATATAACTAACAACAATCTCATTAATGTGAATTGGGAGGAATCAACATTTTTAATGGAATGGAATTAAATTCTACTTGAGGTGACACAATTTCAAAGGAGTCTGGTCAGTGCCATGAAAGGATTTTGGGAACTGTCTTCCCAGGTAGGAGTCATGTTGCCATTATTTTTTGTTTCTTCAGTAATATTTACATTTATTTTTATTTTAGTAATATATTTGTCTCTCACACAAGGCTGGGTCTAATTTTGTATTTAAAACTAAGTCTAATAGATAAATTGGTTTATTGGTCTAAGTAAAGTGACCAGTACCTTAATCTTAAGCTCTCCACAAATATTGATCTTATCACTCTCACTAAACAACAGTTGATTGATTAATAATAATAACTGATTATTTCTGGGAAGCACTGAGCTGTTTCCACTCATCATGTGGTGGCAATATCTGGTGTTGTCGGGTTTGAACTGATGAATCACCACTTGCAGTACAAGCTCCCCCTCAGGACTTCGCTGTTGCAGGCCAGTGAGTTCCACATCGGTTGCTAGGGCTTCATTCTGCTGAGAATTATATTTCTGAAGTCTCGTTGTTACATTTGGGGTCACTTGAAAGTTTGTCTGTAGCAGTGTTCAGACAGGAGATCTCCTCAGGCTTCACTTGTCCTGTGAGGTCTTTACCACCTCACAAATCAGATTTGTGTGAGTTTATTATACGTTACAAGGAACTTCTCAAACTGTTTCATCTCATCTGATGTTTGTGTGGCCATACTCTTTCAGTACAGTTATCTGTCGCCCTTTCAGGACATGAGTTTCTGTTTTATTCTGGAAATGTGATTCCCCGGGCTTTATTTGAGTGTCTACTGTAAGGCTTAATTTCTTCATTGCAGGATTTGCCATTTCACAGATGTATGAGGCTGAGTCCATGGCTCTGCAGACTCCACAGTCACATCAATGGTTGCAGCTGACTACCTATTGAGTGACGATATTGATCATCTAATGTCCTTGTGCTTCATTTCCCTCAACAGGAAACGGAAAGAACAGCAGCACGGACTTCATAAAGACTATATGAGGGTTAAATCAAATATTGTCCTTAAAGGGTTTAGAAAATACCAGGCATATTTATTACTAGTATGTTATATAGTAATGATCTAAGAAGAAAGTGATGCCTGTTAATAGTCTGTGAGCACATTTCAAAATTGTTTTAATATAGATGAGCATTGTTTCCTTCAACTTATTTTCAAAAGGAAAAATCAAGAAGGTGTTAGGTGGCAGCAGCCTCAGTTCCTCAGCTGTGATGGTGCTGGTGAATGCTGTTTACTTCAAAGGCAGATGGAAGTCTGCCTTCACCAAGAGCGAGACCCTCAAGTGCCGTTTCAGGTCTCCCACGGTAAGTACTTACCATTAACCATTCCCCCCAGTTATTCCTTTGGGAAAATTGTGCTATTTGCACCAATTTCTTCTGCATTGCCCAATGTGGTAAGATCCCTCTCCTGCATTCTAAAAGTGGCATTATTGTCTTCGGCAAGACTAAATGCTGTTGGACTCCCCACAGATTGAAATGATTAAGTGAGATGATATATAAAAATTTATTTTAATCACTCAGTATTTTATGTAAAATGCAGATAAATAGTGGCAAGTAGATTTAAATTTAAGTGTTAGCTTTATTTGTTACATATAGCAAAAAAGAGATTGAAATCATGCTTATACTTATATCTTGTTAGCACTCCAGTGCTGAGAGGGTCAGGATTTGGGAGTGAATTTTTGTTTCATGCTTCTTCCATCTGCTTTTCACCTCATAGATTATATAGGTCATCCCCCTTTTAACAATATAGACACAGCAAACAGTATCCAGTCTACTGATTGTTTTTGGATTCTATTGGAGCTTTAAGAAATATATCACCATACAATGGCCTCTTCTTTAAATCCCTTCCTGCTGGTCCACATCCCTTTGTGTGACAGCTTCCTAATAGGGTAGGCCATGCAGTCTTGGTTGCTAAGGTCACAGTTGGTGCTGATAGTTTAAAAGTTGGTGACTGAAGAGGAACAAGGATAATAAAAGTAAAGCACCAGTCAAAAGTCAGCAAAATAACCTGTAAGAATGTGACCTTTTCTGTGTCGGTGTAGACATGCATTCTGTGGCTGAGCCATCGTAGACCGTACTTGGAACAAGACCACTCCGACTTCTCTCCATGGGTGCATGTGGTATTTGTTGCTCCATGTGTTCTCTCTCTCTCTGAAGCACAAAAGGCCAATTTTACTTGCAGGAGAGGCCTTTGGTTTGAGGACACAGAATTAACTATCCTCCCTGGAGAAATTTTGCCCTAAAAATAGACATACAGAGAGGTTGACAATTTTGTCTGTTTTAATATGAACAGGAAAAAAAAAACTTGTTACACCTATGTGGTATTTCTAAATCTATGAGTGATAGCTTCAAGATAAGAATTCGAATGCTCCTTAAGTTATTGAGATGTAAACTACCACTTTGCAACAATTTTTAATTTTTCTAAGATATCATTCTTAAATTATGTGATTTTGATAACATAATTATCTGTATTAAAAAGCTACACAATTCACTCATACATTGACCTTTCATCATTACCCACTGCTTAATAGCGACATTTCAGCTGAGACACTGAGTGTAAGACAGTCTTCCACCTATTAACCCACAGAGTACCCACTGCCCAGTACAGCTGGGGTTGCTGCCATTCCTGCTATATAGATGAGGATCTGCAGGCAGAAATAGGAGGCACCTTATGCAAAGTTACCTACAGAAACGTTTCAAATAAAGGACTACCTCAAAGTCTGAACCTCTACATCTTACAGCCGACACTTGAAACATATCAGAAAATCTCCAAGGTCTACTGACCAAATCCATATTTTCCTGTGTACTTGATGAATGAGTGCAATGATATGGGATTGTAAACACCTCTTTGTGATCTGATATCTAGTGTCCTGAAAAGGCAGTTGCTATGATGCATCAAGAACGGAGGTTCAATATGTCTACAATTCAGGACCCACCCATGCAGGTTCTCGAACTCCAATATCATGGTGACATAAGCATGTACATCATGCTGCCAAGGAATGACCTATCCCAAGTAAGTGACCATTGTCCTTTTCCTACAGGGGAATATTGTATGTAGAGTACTTTTGGTTATTTAATTTTCTATTTTGTGTGTATGTGCATGTGTGTTACATGCATGAGAGAAAGTTGACACTATAGAAGGCTAGAATCAAGTAGAAAAAAATAAATTCAGAATAATAAGTTACTATAGACTATTTATAAACTAGATTATTTAAACATGGAAATTTCCAATGAACTAAATTGGACTGTATAAATTCATGTTCTTTATAAAATTATAAGTTTGATGCATTTGAAAAGTATTTTAGAATTCTAGGGCATCTGAATTTAAGAGGTATCTGTATATATTATTTCTACTATTTATTTTAAGTAAACCTTCCCATTATAAACAAGGCAAGATTTACTTGTGAATTGCTTGAAGCAATCATGTTGATGGAGAGAGGTGTTTACTCTAGGTGAGGAGCCAAGATTGCTTCCTGCTTTGTACCCCAGGTGTATCCTTCACCCTCCGAGCTTCTGTTTCTCATGTGTTGGGTAGAGCTGTGAGTTCAGGCTTCCTACTGAGGAAAGAAGAGATCCATTTTTCCATTTCCTAGAGCTGGGGTCCCGGGGCTTTTGCTTCAGACCACCTGAGTTTATTTACTATTTTATTTTTGAACTTTATTTTATGTTCATGGGTATTTTGCCTGCATGCATGTCTATGCACGAAACACATGCCTGGTGTCCTTGGAGTAAGAAGGCATCAGATTCTTTGAACTGGAGTTATAGATGGTTATAACATGTGGATGCTGAGAATTAAACTGCTGAGCCAGCTCTCCATTGGTTTAGCTTTTAAGCTATTCAAACCTTATGTGTCTTTCATGGTGGGAAAATGATTAGAAAACACTGATCTGAATGATCACTAAGTTCTGTTTTTCTTTGATAAACCATTCCCTTTTATATTGACTCCTATTTTATTATATTAACTTTAAAATACTTCACAGAAATAGTAACTCCGATTATATTTTTAAATGTTTTTTTCTTTTTTGTCGGGCAGTGATAGTTCATTCATGACTTTAATTGCAGCACTCAAGAGGTAGAGACAGGCAGATCTCTGTGAGTTCCAGGCCAACCTGGTTGATAAGAGTTAATTACAGGACAGCCAGTACTTTTACACAGAGAAACCCTGTCTTAAAAAAAAAATCCCAAAAAACAAAAAAAACATCTTTTTATAAATTTTAATTATTTCTTTTAATTTTTGTGTGTAACATAATCACATCATTTCCCCCTTCCTCTTCCTCCAAAGCATCCCCATACCCCTGCCGGTTCTGTTTTGCCTACTTATTATTCCACATGGTTTCTGTTTTTTCCAATGTGGGCAGATATCAGGCATGTCATAATATAAATTCATAAATCACACATCATACATAAATTATGGCTTGTCATTGTATAGTGAGTTAAACATGCAACTTGTTTATGAATACTTGAGCAAATCTTTTCAATCATTTTCTCTTTGGGATTCCTTCCACATCTCATTCATGTACTTAAATGCAAAATCCCAGAAGGGTATAATTACCAAAAAACGTGCATTTCTCTAGTTCCCATTTCATCCTTTTCCTAACAATGTGTTTCCAAATTTTTAAAACTCTCTACAGGTTGAAAGCAAACTGAGCTTTCGGAATCTAATGGAGTGGACCAATAGGAGGAAAATGAAATCTCAGTATGTGGAGGTGTTTCTTCCTCAGTTCAAGATAGAGAAGAATTATGAGATGAGAGGCCACTTGAAGCCCCTAGGGTTGCAGGACATCTTTGATGAGTCCAGAGCAGACCTCTCTGGAATTGCTTCTGGAGGTCGTCTCTATATCTCAAAGCTAATGCACAAATCATTCATAGAGGTCACAGAGGAGGGCAGCGAGGCCACTGCTGCCACAGAAAATGACATTGTTGAAAAGCAGCTCCCTGAATCCACAGTGTTCAGAGCTGATCACCCCTTTCTGTTTGTCATCAGGAAAAATGGTATCATTTTATTTACTGGTAAAGTCGCCTGTCCTTGAAAATCCAATTGGTTTCCCAAACAGTAATAGGCATAAAGAAGTGTCCTAAGTGGAGAGAATTTTAATTGGAAGTTCATGGGTTTGTCTTGTTTTGTTTTACTTTTACTGATGCCCAGCAAATATTATTGGTGATTTGACCCTTTTCAAATACCTGGCTGATAGTCTCAACCTCTGCCTTCATCATTTCTACTCATATTTACTTCCCTCTGTTTAATTTTATTGGCTTTCTACCCACAATCTCCACTGCCATTATTTCCAAAGGCCCATCTGGAAACATAGGTCCTCCTCCATTAGCACGGAGAATGCTGAAGCTGCCTGGAACGTCTTCTGTTTAAACTCTTCAATTGTCAGGAGTATCTCTGCTTCATGATAAAATGACCTGAGAAGTAAGCTCAGTATAGGATAACTCATCCTTCTTGATTTAGAAGACACCAGAATTTGTTTTAGCATACTCAACTTCTCGTCACTGTATAATCCAGAGGTTCAAAAATGCAGAGTTGAGATTCATAAGCAACTAAAATGTTTCATTGATAACCATAAATTCGTAGTCTTTGGCTTTCTTGACATGACTTAATATGTACATAGTTTTCAAATATTAAATAATTTTTATGTTGGCAGTTGTTATGTACAGCGTATTATTTCATATGCTTTCAAGTTGATGAGTTTTTTCCATATTTATCATAATAAAGATGTATAACACCTGCGCAGTGTGACTGTTCTATTCCAGCAAATTTTGAGTCTGTCAGCTCATTATTTTGTAGACCATGGAAGGAAGTAGTGAAGGAGAAGAATGCCTTTGTAACACATACTTTTGTAACGCAAGACTAAGTTGGCTCAATATTGCTTATTTATGACACAAAATATCACACTTACACATATACTAATGAGACAATTGTGAGTACTGGGATTTAAAGGTATAAGTAAGAGACACAGGTAGATTCAAGTAGGTTACCTATGTTTTCACTCCTCTCTTCCTCCATCACATTCTAGTCACCCTGATCAGTTGGCTCCCTTCTCTTGAGACTTGCCTGTCCCAATCCTCCCTGTTGCTAAGAACTTTGTAGCCACATCAAGTGGATCCTAGTAGGCTACCTATATTGTCCTTCCTTTCCTCCTTCATCTTTGTTGCCCTATTACCACAGCTGGTTGCCAGGGATAGGCCCCTGCCCTGAGACTCTCTCTCTTCCTTAGGATATTGCTTGATTCCAATCCCACATACTACCAGGGACTTTGTAGCCACCACACAAGGAACAGACTCAAATAGACTACTTTCACTTTGCTCCCCTTATTCTCCATTTCAATTGTCTGAGCGAAATCAAACCTCCAGCCCTTGCCCAGGTCTCACAACCCATGCCCATGTCCAGTCTGGTAAGTTTACTGAGACTTAGACCACTTGAAACCCCTCTAATCCCTATATCTAACCTGAATTGAACACTCTGTGTACAATCCCAGTATGAACAAACTTACTCAAATCATTCACAACACTCAGGGTTTCCCTCATCAAATACTCTGTAGGCCAGCCTCTTCAGATGAATCCATCAGACCTAAACCTACCTGTAAGATATCCAGCCACCAGGCATAGCCAGGTTATACACCTGTGCACAGACTCAGCCTGGTGAGTCCCTGGAAACTCAACATCCTGCGCCATGTCCCACTCTCAAGCCTTGTCTTAGCTGTACAGACTCTATGACTTTCAAGTAAGATATATAAAAACCGACAAGAAATCAGCAAATTGGAAGAGCACTAAATTAACTTACAAAAATCAGTAGACTTTCTATATATCAAAAATAAACCTATTGAGAAAGAGATAATGGGAACACTCACATTCACAATAATATATATGCATGCATGCACACATGTATGTACACACACACACACACACACTCACAAAAATATCCCTAACCAAAAAGGTGAAAGACATCTGCAATAAAAATGTTAAATCTTTGAAGAAAAGGTAGACATTGAAGAACGGACAAAATCCTCATGCTCTTCATGTATTAGTAGAATCAACTGTGCCAAATTGAAAATCTTACCAAAAGTTTAAATGTATTCAAATTTTAAAATCAAATATCCACAATATTCTTCACATAAGTAGAAAAACTCATAAATTCATATGAAGCCACAAAAGACCAAGTACAGCCAAAGCCATCTGTAAGCAAAAAGAACAATTTTGAAGGGATTACCATTCCAGATTTCAAAATATATTACAGAGCTATAGCAATAAAAGCAACATTATGTTTGCATAAAAACAGACATGTAGACCAGCAGAACAGAACAGAAGACTCGAACATCAGTGCACATGGCCTTAGTCATCTAACATTTGACAAAAATACTAAATACATACATTGGAAAAACAGCACTCATTATGGTGCTAGGAAAACTGGATGTCATGCACGGAAGAATGTAATTAGGCCAATATCTCAAAAATTAATTCCAAATGGATCAAAGACCTCAATGTGAAACTTAAAACACCAAAGTTGCTGGAAGAAAATATAGGCCATACCATACAAGATGACGTAGGTGTGGGAAAAGACCTCAGGAACTAAGTTCAGTTGAAAAGTGATACCTCATAAACTAAAAAGCCACTGAACAGAGATGGGAACAACCAACTGAGTAAAAAGGAAGCCCTTTGAGTGGGAAAGAATCTTTTTCAACTATACATCTCACAGAGGTCTGGCATCTAGAGTATCTAAAGAGATCAAGAAAAAAATTTAAGAAAACAAATGACCCAAGTAAAAGTGGGTTATGAATCTGAAGAGTTATGAAAAGAAATAAGAGTAGCTAAGAAATGTCTCAAAACACAGTTCAAAAAACTATGGCCCTCATGGGATCATCAGTGTTTGTTGCTGAATGCTATGAACAAATCTTGGGCTCAGTGTTAACGGAGATTCTGAGTTCTTCTCTTTCTGTTGGTTTTCGGAGCAGTATCAAAGTCACTGCTATATTCCTCATCTCTAGAATGACCTGCACTGGGAGCATCTGAATCTGGCTCAATGATGTGGCACTAGAAAACATTTACATTATAATGTATTTAATTATATTACACTGCATAGAAAACATTTGCATTACAATGAAAGTAGGTAATCAGTCTGGAGGATGTGATTTGAGGAAAGAAGTGTGGCCCTAGCACCATTGTAGTACCAAATAAAGTAGCTGCTCCTGTAATGGAGTTCCCTGCATACAAACGTAAAGTTTTAACTTTTAAGTTCCTATTTATCCAGTCTGCTTCATATATATGTATGTGTATATATATATATATATATATATATATATATATATATCCAGAGATTATTCGAAATTCTGTCTCTATATATGATAGTATATAGTGAGGTGGCCTTAATAAATGCAGATTGTACCTATCTACTCAGCATCTTCACCCAGGTTCACAACTCTCTCCCTGATGAGTCCATCTGCATATCCTAGAATGAAAAGTATACCTTTTTAGTATGGAACATGTCAGCATCCTTCCTTGTTTGTGCTACACTTTCTTGTGTAACCTGATTTAGTTAAGATAGATATAATCTAAAAGCCTGATAATAAATAGTCATGTACCTTCTTCACATTGGGATTGATTCTTGGCAATTATCACTAAAATGCCTCTTGAATGTCCCAGCTCTCCTATCTTCTCATCATCTCTGAACCAGTTTGCCTCATGTAGCCTATATCTTCTCTGCTTTAAACTTAGTCATTAATACATTGTAAGATTCCATGCTTATCTGTCAATACGATTGTCTTTCTGAAATAAGTAGGGCCATGAACCCCTAAAAACAGAGGCAGAACTCTTTGCCATGACACTAAATGATATATACAGCTTACTCTACCTCTCTTCCTTCTTGCCTTACACTTACAAAGGGTGTAGTGTATGTGTGCTCTAATCACTAGATCACTAGTCTCATGTTGCTGTGTCCCATCGGACTGACACACTCTCCCCATCTTATTGAAAGATAGACTGCTTCTGTTCTAGCTTGCCATGTTGATTTCTTCTCAGGTAGATTAAAATAACCAAACCAAAACAACAGAATGACCCCTCTCCAGAGTATTGTGCATCTATATACTAAATTGCTTAAGAAAACAACTCTTTCCAGTTTATATACTACATAAGACTGTGTGCCCAGTGCTTAGACTCTTCTTTAAATACAGGGGAAAGAGTCATTGGGTGGGACCTTTAGTATGTTCTAAAAATAATTTAGTTAGATAGAAACCCTGTCTCAAAAAAACCCCCCAAAAATATTAATTAGTTACTTTCAATGTAGTTAGTTACATTTTGTATTTATTTAGTACAAATTTATATACATATATATATGTGTGTGTGTGTGTGTGTGTGTGTGTGTGTGTGTGTGTGTTTGGGGGACACACATGCAAAGGTGTGCATGTGGAGGTTAGAGGACAACATAGGATGTAGTCAGTTCTCCTTTTCTGTATATGACTCTAGGAAATAGAATTCAAGTCGTCAATATTGGGGCAGATACATTTAGGTGCTGATTATTTTGCCAGCCTAGTATTAATTTTAAAATTAAGAAAAATAGAAAAAGAAAAGGTGAGGCAAGCTCCATGGGAGTGGGAGCCGAGAGCAGATCCTGTCCTGGTACACTGGCGGATCAGGACTGAGACAGTGACCTGGTCCTGAACAGACCTGCGACAGTGAACTCCACCAAAACAGGTACAGGGGAGTAACTGCTGAGCCAGTGAGCCAGAGCCAGAGACCACTGAGGGTTCAGATGTGAATCTGGGACCTTCAAGGGACTAGACCTAAGCCAAAACCCCTGTGGTCTGGGCTTGAGTCTAGGACCTTCAAAAAACTAGACCTGAGCCAGGACCTCTGTCTGGGCATGAATCTGGGACTCTGAAAGAGTAGGCAGGAACCAGAGATCTCTGCAGGTCCAGGCATGAATCTGGGATCTCAGAGGGAGTAGGCCTGAGCCAGGACCTCTGTGGATTGAGGCATAGGTCTGGGACATCAAGGGGAATCATCAGGAACATGGAACCTCTGTGGGTCCTAG